GAACGTTCATGTTTTCCTTGCTGTTGGGAGCTTCTGTGCTCTACATTGAAAAACCTAGACCAGAAGCACGAGATGAACAGCAATAACAAAGTGCTGTCTAAACTTCCCCATCCACCCACTCCATTTGCTTCAATATCAAAAACCCCTGGGAAGCAGGTTCATGGTTCTGGGTCTTAAAACAAGAGTATACACATGCCGTTTCCCTACCTACCCTGAGTTAACGCAAATGTTAACTCAAATATGTCTGTGTCAACCAGGATTGTCTTTGAAATGAAAGAATAAAGGTAAACAGAATGTGCTTTGCTATGATCAGGAGGGAAAATAAAGTGAACGTGCTGAGCCAAGCCTACTTTGGACTTTTTCAAGAATAAGTGTAAATAGTTTAGCTATAATAACAACAAAGTCAAAAAATGCACATTAAAATGTTTACTTCAAAATTTAGACCTTTCCATTTGTATATAGTTTTTACATCTGTTTTCAATGATATCAAATTATTGATTGTTCATTTTTCTCATATTTATTTAAGCATTAACTATAGAATTTGCAATCTGATCTCACTTTTTTCTTCCTTCCAGTAGATTTTTATTTTTGCCAGGTTTTAGTCATATTTACTTTGATCTTTCAGAATACATAATTATTTCAGTTTATTTATTTCTATGAGAAAAGGAAAAAAAATTGACCTAGGAGTTCTTTCTATATGTGGCAATTTGTAACAGATTCCCATAGCTTATGTTTAGGAAATCATGGTTTTGATTAAGAAGTAACCATTTAGTTCCCACTGTTTTATTAAAACAGACATTAGCAGATAATGCAAAACATATTTAACAATGGAGCCTGCATTTAGTTTGGGACATCAGTAAGTGAGCTTGAGGTTTTCTTCTAGGGCGAGTAACAGTCACAATACATGTACACTGGTGATGTTGGGGTGGACAGAAGGTGTGGGAAGGCAAACAGGGACATGGTTCTCAAGAAGAGAGCCAAGACAGAGACCTGGCTCTGCTACCACTGATGTGCAGATTTGCAATTCATTTCGATTGCCATTGTAAGTTGCCATAGAGCCAATCCCAACTCATAGCAGCCCCACGTGCATAGAATGTAACTGCTCCACCGAGTTTTCAAGGTGATAACATCTCAGAAAGTTGCCAGACCTTTCTTCCGGGGTGTTCGCTCAAAAGCCAACCCCACCCCCCACCCCACCCCCACCATCAAGTCAACTCTGACTCAATAGGCCAAACCCCCAACCTTTCAGCCAGTGGTTGAGCTGTTTGATCTTTTGTGCCATCCAGGGACCCTCCAGCAATTCCTTACTACTTTTTTTCCCCCTTTATTTTAAAAATGGATGGACACGAAAAGAAATTTTGTGAACGAAATCATGACCTGCCCATGAGAAATGTGTCCTATTAGATAGGAAATTCCATAGCAACATCTAATCACAGCAACAACAACAACAAAAGTCTCATCAAGTGAAGTGTGCCTGGATAGGCCCAACACTGTCTGTTTTTCTGAGGGTCGAAAGTTAATAAAACACACCCCTCTGGGTGTTTGTTTTCTATGCACGATCATACCTGTCATGAATTCTTTGTTTTCCCTCCCACTCCCTTGCTTGATGAATCAACACCACTTGAACTGTTTGACGGCAGCTTGTGTTTACTTCACACGTACCTTAACCTTCCCTTTTCTCCTCCTACTGACACACACACCCCCACACACGCACACACGTGCACACACATACTTTAAAGCAGCAACAATGAGCTCCCTGTCTTTGAATAGCTTATGTACCCACTGTCTGGCAGCCCTTTCAGGTGTGGATCCTTGACCTCCTCAGTGAAATCAAGGTCTCAGTCTACTTCTACAGCACTTAAGTGATTTAACTGTGCATTTACTACCTTGGAGGGGGCCAAAAAAGAAGAAGAAGCCTAGCTTGAGGAACTGCATCTTTGAGAGAGAAAGCAGAAAACATGGGTGCTAATGCATATGTAGACACAGCACACGCACGCACGCACGCACGCACGCACGCACACTGGCTGGCACGCACACTGGCTGGCACACAGGTGCTGGAGAGGCAGTTCTGAGAACCCGACAAAGAAGGCTCACAGGCTTTCTGTATCCGAATTCTTTCTGAACACTCCAGCTTATTAAAGAGGTCACTCTCTTCCTTTCTCTTATACCAGAAAGCAAGTGGGATCTAACAAATGACCTTGAAGCTGTGGGATGTTTCTGATTGTTAGCCACAGAGGTTATGTTCCAACACCTTAGCAGTCCTATTTAAAAAACAAAACAAAGCAAAAATGTGGAGGGAACACTTCTGAACCATACAATCGTGTTTTATCATGAAAAGGAGCTATTTATCTAATCCTTTACATGGGAGAACACTAATAATACTGTAAGTGCAATATCCAAACCAGACCCTGGGGCCCTAAGAATTTAGACTGCATTGGAAAGGAATGGATCTGAATTCAATTTTCGGTGCTAAAAATTTTTTTTAAAAAGAAAGAAAGAAAGAAAAAGGTTTTCCTTGGCAGTGCAACAGCTAAGGAAGTTAAATCCTCAGGTGCTACCCAAAAGGTCAGTGGTTCAAACCTATCAGCCACGCCATGTGAGAAAAACATGGCACTCTGCTAGTTTAAGGATTTACAGCCTTGGCAACCGTACAGGGCAATTCATCTCTGTCCTATAGGGTTTCCATAACTTGTGTCACTAGTATCAAATGTGCTCATTCCTTTTGTAATCAGAAATGTGCATGGAAAGCTCGTTTCGTCAAAAGGTAACCTTGTCAGCAAGCTTCCACTCACTCACCAGCCAACAAGCATTATTTGGACACACCAAAGGAAATCTGCAGGTAGTTAAATAAATAAATGCAACCTTTCCTTCCACCTACACCAAAACTGTTGTTCAGCCCTCGGCTGGGGGCAGTGAGCTGTCAGCAAGACTGTGCACACCAATAACATAGCACAATGGATGACGTTATGATCATGCAGAATAGGCCCAGCAGGATCCTTACACATGGACCTATCCCAGCACCAAAAAAAAAAAAAAGTCCTTATAACCCTGTGATGCTACTGGGATTTATCTGAACTGAGGTGAGAGCAAAAGACATTTTCAAATATTGACATACTTGCAAAGGTAGACTATTGCTGATATGTGCTGTAAAGAGCATGCTGTTCATTACCTAAGAAACTATTTTCAGGACCAACCAACTCCTTATATGTTACTACTAAAACTATCACTGACCTAAAAAGAAACCACACCACGCCAAGTCAACGCTGACTGCTCCATAAGGTTTCCAAAATGGTACGTCCTCTTTTAAAGGAGTTTTATTGGTACATACTTCACAAATCATATGATTTAATTATTCAATCATATTAAGAACATCTGTGCAAACGAATCACCACAATCCGTTTCAGAACATTTTCTTCTCATCTTCATTGTTGGTTTGCTTCCCGTTCCCCGCCTCTTCCCGTCTATGCCTCTAGGGACTTATTGATCCAGTGACTCTCTCTAGAGCTCTACCTCTCCTGCATTTCATATGCTTAAAGTCACACAACACATAAACAGGAAGCAGGCAACCCCCCAATCCAACAGCAACGACTGGACAAAACATGGGGAAACCTCAATCAAAAAAGAAAGGAGACTGTATTAAAGACTGAAACGACTTTAAACTGGGTCAAAATGGAGATCGAACGATAGGTGTTACATTTTAACCTAACTGCATCTTCCCTCCTTGATTCCACGATGCTCTCACATCTTGATGCTCTCACATCTTGATGGCGGCAGACGGGCGCATCTTTCTCCCGGGGAGCAGCTGGGGTTCGCAAACGGCTGACCTTTGACAGCTGGCAGCTGAGCACTTTAACCACTGTGCCACGGGGGCTCCAGGATTCCCACTACTACTTATTATCACGATGTTCAGAGAGCAGCCCCAGTGGTGCGGTGTTGAAAGTGACCGAATGCTAACCAAAAGGTCAATGGTTCTAACCCACCACCTGTTTTGTGGAAGAAAGTAGTGACTGTTGTCTTTCTTAAAGATTTACAGTCTTCGAAATCCTACAGGGCAGTTTCTACTCAGTTCTCGAGAGTCACTGTGAGTCGAAGCTGATGCCACAGCCAACCTCACCACCAAGCCCACTGTCTTACAGTGACGATGGAGGAAGAGGCTGCACTTTGGGTTCTAGTCTTGGGTCTCATAACTACACACAGCTACACCGAGACCAGTGTGCTGTCACCTCTCTGGTTACTGAGGTGCAGTGAAGTGAAACAATGTGCCCCAGCTCACGCAGCCAGCAAGTGGAAGGCAAAGATTTGCAGCCAATAGCCTTTGCTTCAACCGTGATCTGGAATGGTCCTCCAATACAACAAATCAAAAAACCAGACTCACTGCCTTCGGGTTGGCTCTGACCTAGAGGACAGGAGTGAACTGACGCTGTGGGTTTCCCAGACTAAGTCTCTTTATGGGAGTAGAACGTTTCATCTTTCTCCCGAGGAGTGGCTGGTAGTTTCGAACTGCTGACCTTGTGGTTAGCAGTCTAATTCATAGCCCACTGTGCCCACAGGGCTCATGGTCTTCAAATAAACATAAGCATAGCATCAAAACTCCACTTCTGACCAATCATTTTATGATATCCACAACAGCTATCCCCACCGGCTTATTAGTATTTAAACTCCAAGTGGGGATTTAACCAAAATTAATATGTTCATTAAAATGACTTCTTGACTAAGTTTTTAAAATAGACATACCTTTCTGGAATAAGCCATTTCAAAATATTTCTCAAGATGTGGCTCTTCCCATGCATCTCTTGTGAAAACTACAAACTTCCTCTATTACACTGAGATACAATGTTTGTGCTAAAGAAACCAGTTTGTATCACACGATGGAAGTATTAAGAATACCACCTTTGTACAAAACTATATAAATTGAATCTAAAATTGGCATAAATCCTAAAGTATTAGTAATTCATCTAAGAAACTGAAAACTGACTTTAAAAACAAAAGGCTCTGTTTACCTTTAATCTTCTTGTACTTCTTATACCATCTCCCAAACTCCTGGCACTTGGTTGCTGACACATTGGCATAGTATGTGCTATTTACAATGGATGAAATCATACTCTGCAAGGGAAAATAAAAGCGTTATTATTTTTTGCCAAAATACGAGTACTCCAAGAATGGGCTCGCTACAGTCCACATTCATCTCTTTTGTCTTCTAGACTCTCCTGCAAACAAGCCTGCTTAGCATCCAACATGAATACCTGGATTTTAATACTGAATGATCACAGTGCTTTCTCCAAAAAGTCCACTGTCAGGGATGGAGGGGGTGGGGACATACAGGTGAGGTGCACAGTAGAAGAGCTGCAATTCAGTAACCAGAGCAACAGTTGAGGTCAGATGCTCCAACAAATCATGCCTTTCAGACGTTTCTGTTCTGAGTCCAAAGGCAACAAGCTTACCCAGCCAAGAATCTGAGAACATCCGTGCTACTCGCTGCAGAACAACAGTTAGGGAAATAAGTTAAATTAATATAATTTATAGAAACGTGTGATTAGCACTTGTGTGAAAATACACCAAATGAAAAATTAACAGTGCTATTTTAGAGCAGAGCAAACTAAACATAACATTTGTACTGCATTTCAACCAAAAATGAACCAAAGCTCAAACTTCCTGAGTGCTTAAATAAATGACTCCTCCAGACTCTTCACCTTCTTGTCCCTCCTGGCTCCCCCTTTAGCTGACCTGCTTGTAATGGGGAGGGGTGACAGGCAAAGGAAGGAGCTGGACAGCACAACGGGACTGATCACAGAAAGACGAGCATAAAAAGTCGCACACCTTGAACTAAAGGACCTGCAAAGACCGGTTGGTAGTCAATGTGATAGGTGTAGGCCAATATTTGTTCATTTACATGTAATTGACTGGGATCATCCATGTATGTTTCAGATATGTATTTTATTTCTGAACATTCTGCCTAGAAACAGAGAGAAAGAACTCAAGAATTCCAAATACCCTGTGTGAGATTTGATAGCATGCCTTGTAATCACATCTTCCTTTAAATGTATGTGTGTATATAATAACCATATACAAAATGTAATATATAATAATACATAAGAACTACATATACACGTGGTCCCCCAGACATGGAGCAGTTCAGAGAAATCTTAGAACACAAAATGACATTTCTACCAAATTATAGAGCAGGAACAATAAATCAAGGCAACGCCAAGCTATTCACCAGGAGGTTCAAATACCAGCAGACAGCCCTTCAGAGATTCCCAATGAAAAGGCTTTCCTTTCCATGAGCCTATCTTTGTTTAATCGCTTCTCAATACTGGCAAGGGGGAGTCCTAATTCAATTCACAGAAAGCCCTCGGCTGTTTGACATAGCGCATGGCCATCCTCCCCCAGTTGCTGATCTCGAAATGGCAATTGAGCAAGAACACTTTTAAGAGCAGGGCCACCATCACCTGCATGTATCCCTGAAAGTATGGGTCCCCAGGGCTCAGTGGGTCCCTAACTTCCCTGAGGCAGGGTTCTGCACAGACTGCCGCCTGATTAGCTGGGCTCCCTCCCTCCCCGGGCCAAGCTTTTCTCTCTCTCCTAGTCTGGAGACCCTTGAGGACAGTAAGGTCTGATTCTTTTAGTTTTTCCCTTCTCCCTAGTGGTGAACACAGTTCTAATGGGGAATATCTGAGTCACTGCACCATCACAGATGAAAAGGGACAGGGATGAATTTGAAAACGCCAAATTGAAGTATCATACTAATAAAAATTTGAACAAGAAAGCAGCCTAACAATAGAGTGTACCAGTCACAGTGAGGTATGTGAGTAAGCGGAATGTGTTTGTCGCCTCTGCTGTTCCTATAAATGCTATCCTCTGGAAAGGCAGAGTTAAAGTAAAACCTCATGCCGCAGAGCGGCCTAGGACACAGAGTGAACTGAGAGTGGCTCAAGGGCACGCTAGAGCTGTCCACGTGACGTGGCCACGTCACTCAGGACCAAGAAGACCTACACCTCCTGCTCTCCAGCCTCTCAAGGTCACCTTTCCCGCAGCGGCATCTTCACCGACACTGCCAGATGCCAGTGTCAATTAGTCAAAGGGGCAAGGAAATGAATAGACTATCTGAGCTTCTCTCAGCTTGATCACCAGCCCCTGTACTTGCATCCGCTTCCTATGTCTTATTTAATGAGGAGTTCACTATGCAGAGACAAAATCACAGTTATTCTCTTCCGCAGCTTACTTTAATGAGTCCCTATCACTGCAGAGCAAGGAAAGAAATGGGCTTAAGTTATAAACTGAGAAATTAGTTAACAAATAAAGACAATTTCCTAGAAATGAGAATCTTTAGACATCGAAAATGTTTATTTAAGCTTGCGGCACCTTGTTATTTATCTTTTAATTCCCTGCAGGACTTGATGCTTAGTTGACCCTCGAAATACTTCTACTGATAAGAACTGCCATCAGAGAGCTTTAAAAACAGGAAAGGTACACCTTGGGTATACTTTAGATAAGAAGCCATGTCATGTCTTATTATTTCTAGGTTCAAAGTAACATGAACATTCTCAGCTCCTAAATCAGACTGTCCTGTCCCCATGGCCTAATTCTGAACCATTCAGCCTCGCCCTGGACACACACTAACAGGCCGTCTTCTGGTAAGTGCTCAGTTTTTAAGCAACAAAACTTAATAAATTAGATGCCCTGTTGAAAGTGACTGACAACAGTGTGCTGACTTTCATTCTAGAAATCAACAGAGGTCCTCGGGCACAGAGAACGAACTTGTATTTACCAATTGCTCATTTATCCTTAAGCCACATTTTTAAAACCCTTTTAATGTCACTGAAATCAGGATGCACTTTAAAATCAACAGTAACCTGATGAGATATATTTGATGTAAAATGGCATGAGTAATGATTAAAACTCCAACTACCTACCACTACATCAAACAAAGATCTAATTTCATTCCTTGCTTTAAAAAACATGCATATGGGGCTTTGTTGTTCTTGTTTTATGTTTCCCAATCATTATAATCAACAGACAAACTTTTAGAATCCTTTTTGTTTTTAATTTTTATTTTTTTAGAATATTTTTGAGAAGCAAACATGATCTGAGTCTACATTTTCAAGACATAATGCAACCAATACTTGAGTACCTATATAAAATATGAATATAAATAATCAGAAGTTTTGTGTTGTTGTTTTAACATATAAATGGAGGAGCTATATTTTACTGAGGCTGATATTAAAATGACTTTGCATCTACCAAGCGCACAGCAGTACATGTGAGTGAGGTGGTAAGGCAGGAAGGGCAGGGCACACAGATAACAAGCAATCACGCAGCCCCCCTTAAAAATGTAGACACAGTCATCAAAACCACTCAGTAGGTGACTGCAGGTTAAGCAATTTGATGACAAGTTTTACTACAAATAATAATATAAAGATAAATTACAGTGCTTAATATGTCCCCTCAATGATAGAAACTTTTTGGAAATATTTTTACTTCTTTTTCATTAATCATAAAATTTTAAATGTGAAGGTTTGTTTGTTTTTAATTATAGGAGGGGAGGGAGACAAAATAAAGGATTCTGTATATTTATAGTCCACAACATTTTGCCACCTAGACATGAAAGTGATATTTGAAAAGGCAAAGTTAATAAGAAAGCACAAAATCATCAACAAAGGATAAAATGATTTTTATGTTATACTTGGAAAGCCAAAGATCCAAGCATCCTCAACCCCCCTGCAAAAAAAAAAGAAAAAATGCTTGGATATCCTTCCCCATATTCCCGTTGGCCTAGTGGGATTTATGTTTGCGCATCAACCTTATACTAAGAGTATGTAAGCTGCAGATACACTATACACTCACACTATGAAAACAGTGCCTTTTCAAACCTAGGGGAATGATTACGTGGCCTGTCAGTGGCCGACAGATGGGGGAGAAATGGGCAGCCTCTGCTGCCCTTCCCACGACGACAGAGGGGAGAGAGCAAGGTGCAGTCCACGGGCAATGTGCACCTTCTCGGCTCCTCTCGCAGTCCTTTCACTCGGCGCTGGGACATGCACTCGGGAGGTTGCCAAGAGTCAGAAATAACTTGATTGTGTGTGTGTGTGTGTGTGTGTGTGTGTGTGTGTGTGTGTGTGTGTAGGGGGGTTGATGTGTTTGTTTTCTGTGGCATGCTGCTCATCTGGAGAAACTACTTTGTGATGAAAAAGTCTCTTAATGTCACTAGGCAGTCTTCCTATTCCTTTCCCTTCCCATTTCTGAGCTACTGAATGGTAACTTTTACTATTCTAATGGAAAGAGAAAATCCTTCTCCTGGTCTTTGAAGTATGAAGAGACTGCACACTCAAGCCCTTCCCTGCACTGGGGTGCTAAGTGCAAGGTCAGCAGTTAAAAGATGAGGGCAACAAATGTATAGATGTGCTCTACACAATTGATCTATGTATTGTGATGAATTTTATGAGCCCCAATAAATTGATTAAAAAAAAAAGAAGTGATGAAGAAAAAAATGAGGGATGAGTTTGAAAAATGTTTCAAAGGATGGTATCGCAGATTTGACAAATATATTCAGTGTACTGGAGAGTACTTTGAAGGTGATAAGGTATTTTTGTAAAATAAATAAAAACGTAGCTTGAAAAAAAAAAGTCAACAGCCGCTCAGTGGGAAGCAGATGCGGCTCTCCACACCCATAGAGTTACAGTCTGGGGATCCCACAGGGGAGCTCTGCTCCGTCCCCTAGGGCTGCCATGAGTGGGAAGGATGGCAAGGAGTTTGGTTGGGATTTTTTTTTCTCCTGCACAGCTGATGAATGACTGGCTTGTCTGAGCTGCAGCACCCCCATCTGTGAAACTGGATGTCAGTGAGGAGTCACGCAGCTCATTTGTGTAAAAGGCCCGAAACAGGATGTGAGGTCAGCCAATGGCAGTTCTCCTTCGACCAGGCAATGCTTTCGTCTGATCATCACAACCACCTGGTTAGGCATTACCTTCAAGCTGTCACATGTGAATCTCTTGCAACTTGAGTTCATGAGTCAGTTGTCAGTAGATGAACACATGATCCATTGGGTGGGGGGGGCGTTTTGTGTGTGGGGGGGGATAGTTCTGCTGACCCTACTAGCTTTTTGA